CTACAGTCATATCCACCTGCATCCCGTTGCCTTGAACAGCCCTGGAAAGGACTCCTCTCATGCCAGCTTTGGGTTCTTCCTCCAAATGTGTGCAATGTCTTCATCCTTCCTACTCCCACTGGCGGCCATCTTGGTTAAGCAGGCCGACCTGAGCAGACCTCTACTTCCAGGTGGCTCTGATGGCTTTCCTCTTCCTTATCATCAAACGCCCTCATCTTCTGTCTCATTCTCAGTCACTGGGCACTTTGCTGGGTGAAAAAAGGAAATCAGATGAGAGAATCCACATTAATGGGGGCTAATGTTACCTTTTCCATGTACGATATGGACAACATCTTCACTCTGGGCTTCTCACACAGGGCACACGGGCTCCCTGCCTCATGCAAGGGTGTGTCAGGGACACTACAAGCTACAGGCTGGGTAATATGGCACAACTTGATGACTTGGGAAAATAATTTTTATCTGAAGACAAAGATGGATATCTTAGGGAGTAGAATATCAACTTTTCATACAATTACAAAGCTAAAACGAGCCTTTGAAGGCACTTTACCTAAGGCTACAGCCTGGGCAACATAGTAAGACCTTGTCTCTACAAAAAAAAAAAAGAAAAAGAAAAAATTAGCCGAGTGTGGTGGCACACACTTGTAGTCCTAGCTACTTGGGAGCCTGGGGTGGGAGGATGGCTTGAGCCCAGAATGTCAAGGCTGCAGTGAGCCATGATCACATCATTGCACTCTAGCCTGGATAACAGAGTGATACCCTGTCACAAACAACAAAGACTGTGGCCAGGCGTGGTGGCACATGCCTGTAGTCCCAGCTACTTGGGAGACTGAAGTGGGAGGATTGCTTGAGGCCAGGAATTTGAATCCAGCCTGGGCAACATAGTGAGATCCCGTCTCAAAACCAAATGGAACCAAAATAAGAGTATGTATCACTTGGTGCCATTTACTTCATGCTGTCTCTCAGGTTACAGAGGTACAAGTTTATCCTCACTGGCATTGTGACAGTTCTAGGGAAAGGGTTGGGAAGTATCAGGCTATAGATTGGGCCTTCAATCATATCTGGAACACTGGTGGCCACACGTCCATAATGCTCAGGACTAGCACTGTGGGCAGCATGCTGTCAGTCCCATGGGCTTAGCAGGTTCTTAGGTCAATGTGTCATTCGAAGGTAAACCATTCACCCCACTGGACAGTCGGCCTCATTCACCTAACAGTCCATCCATCAGTCCAGCCAGCATCTGCCAGATGCTGTTTTAGGTGCAGGGAGAATAATGGTGAGCCAATCAGGAAGTTTCTGTTCTCGGGCTCACAATCTGGCAGGGCAAACACATTAGAGCAGAGTAGTATTAAGCACAGTGGTGGCATTAAACAGGTTATTGGAGAGTAGTAAGCCGGATGGAGAGGAGCACAGCGTTCTGGCTGTTGAGGAAGCCGTTGTTTGTCACTGATCGCATTTTGTTAGAATGTCCCTGCAACACTGGAAAACCATTTATTTTCAGTGCTCAGAATTAACTTTTAAAATAAAGGTATATTTGTCCCTCCATAGGATTCTGAATATTTTGCATGTTGGGAAAGAATGAGGTATGATTTAGGAGTTTATTATGTATGAAAATTTTCTGGGAATATAGGTGTATATAAATTACAAAGGTCTATTTGATATTTCAAATACAGTAAAGGTACTATTTTTCATTATTTTCTTCTCTGTAGTTATAAACTATTTTTCAGAATTAAAAAATATATGTAATTGGCAATTGCTTTAGTAATCTATACCCTCTATATCATTTTTAGAATAAGAATGTGTTTAAGCTTCCTTCCCCTGCCCCCAAACCAAAGCCAGTCTCCTCCCTCCCTTCTAACAAATGTTTTTGACAGCATAATTGAATTCCAACAGTATTGTATAATATATAGTGGTAAGAAGGTCAACAAAAGTCATTTAAACCTATTAAAATACCTTTCAGGAACAAACTGACCAAAGGTCATTTTATTCCAATACAACTTGTTAGGCCATGCCTAGCACGTGACGTTCTTTGTCCTGAGTCGTGACTAATAAACAGATGACATCCCTTTTGCTGTGGGCTTTAGTACAATTCTCTTCTGCCTGTTGCTGAAAACCATACTCTTTCAAGATTCATAAAAGAACCATTCCAATTAATATAGTATACATTCTTAAGACCCCCTGGGAAATTGCAGATCCTATTTTGCCACACTAATGCTACTATAAAATCCTCTGGTGCCAACACTTAGCCACAGGAGGATTCCTATCTTTCTCAAAGCAGGTAAACACCTCCTGGTGCTGGTAAGGAAATCTTCAACAGTGTGGCTGTGTTGGAGGGATTATATATATCCTTAACTTTTCTCATGGAAATGCCTGGTTCCCCATACACCTTTCTGTGTCATGACTATGGCAAAGTCAAATGCATTATTTGTCTCTATCTACCCTGATGTTCTAAAGCATGGGACCCCCTGTCTCCTAGGCTCTCTGATCCTCCCAGCCCGTGAACTGATCATCATCAGAGATCAGGAGCTGCAGAGAATGGAGTGAAGAGAAATCCTTTTGTTGCAGTTACAATGTCTGAACTTTGCAAATGGTCTTCTCCAGTAGGTTTGTTATTTGATTGATTGATTTATTTTTTTTGAGATAACGAGTCTCACTCTGTCGCCAGGCTGGGGTGCAGTGGCACGATCTTGGCTCACTGCAACTTCTGCCTCCTGGATTCAAGCGATTCTCCTGCCTCAGCCTCCTGAGTAGCTGGGACTACAGGCGCATGCCACTACGCCCAGATAATTTTTGTATTTTTAGTAGAGGCGGGGTTTCATCAGGTTGGCCAGGATGGTCTCGATCTCTTGACCTCGTGATCTGCCCGTCTTGGCCTCCCGAAGTCCTGGGATTATAGGCGTGAGCCACCGCGTCTGGCCTACTGTTTGATTTTTAAAAAGTAAAAGAGGTTGGCTCTGTGGCTCACGTCTGTAATCCCAACACTTTGGGAGGCCAAGGCAGGAGGATTGCTTGAACCCAGGAGTTCAAGACCAGCTTGGGGCAACATGGCAAGGCCCTATCTCTACAAAAAATAATCATAATAAAAATTAGCCAGTGTGGTTGGGAGGATCGCTTGAGGCCGGGAGGTTGAGGCTGCAGTGAACCATGTTTGTACTACTGCACTCCAGCCTGGGTGACAGAGCAAGACCCTGTCTTAAAAAAAAAAGTAAAAAGTAATAGTTTATGAGGAAGGCTCCCTTTCCAGCAGAGGAGTGCTAGATGCCAGCTTTCCTAAGGGGACAAAGCGAATACTTGCTCACTGCCAGGTTACTGAAGACAAAAAATTCCTCACCATCACCCTGACATTAAGGTGATACTTTTCTTTCTTAACAGGAGAACTTTCTGGTCAGCAAATTCAGTTTCCTCACCCTAAGCTTGTACAACTTATGAGGAAGAGAGGCTACTTGGGAGGTGTGGGGACTCTCTGGAATGGTCTACCTCAGGAATATCTCTTGAAAGCACATTTGCCTCTTGGGAGAAAAAACCCAAAAGTCTCTGACTTCTTTGTATTTATAGATGCTCTCTTACTTTCACTCTGCAACCTCACTCTACAGCACACTGTGTTTCCTAAGAGTGCCCTTGAGGTGGCCTGAGTCCTTAGCTTTCTTTCATATAAGAGAATCCACCATGAACTCACTGATAAATTAAAGGCTATACTTTGGTTTGAAGAGACTTTTTTTTTTTTTTTTTTTAAAGAATTTCTATTTAGAACGGTTTTTTTTCCCAGATTGTTTTGAATGAATCAGAACATAAACAAAAATCCTCCAGAAATATTTGCATATTATCCAACTTAGTGGGGTGTGAGGATTAAAAGCAAAGTTATCTTTAAAAATATCTAGAATATGTTAATCAACTACCTAATAATGTGATAATAATATAAGTAATAAGATCTTTAAAATTTTATCTACTAGGCGCTGTGGCTCATGCCTGTAATTCCAGCACTTTGGGAGGCCAAGGCAGGGGGATCACGAGGTCAGGAGTTCGAGACCAGCCTGATCAACGTGGTGAAACCCCGTCTCTACTAAAAATACAAAAATTAGCCAGGCGTGGTGGTGCGTGCCTGTAATCCCAGCTACTCAAGAGGTTGAGGCAGGAGAATCCCTTGAACCTGGCAGAGGTTGCAGTGAGCCGAGATGGCGCCATTGCACTCCAGCCTGGGCGACAGAGACTCTGTCTCAAAAATAAATAAATAAATAAATAAAATTTTATCAGTTTAGCAAGTCTATTAATGCCAAAAACAACACCATAAAGTTTTGATTAATCAGAAAACCTATTTCTTTTCTTTTTTTTTTTTTTTTAGTGTTGGAGGCCCTCCCTAAATGTAAAGGTTATTTCAACAAAGAAAACCATCCTTTTTCTAGGACCCCGCATGGCATCAGTGATCTTAGAATCACAGGATCTTAGAGCTGTAGAGATCTAAGGAGTGAATCTCATCTAACCCCTTCAGTTTTACAGACAGGCCCTGAAAACGACAGATGCCAGGAGGTGGCTCAGGGTCCTGAAGCTGAATGATCACAGAGCCAGATGCGGACAGGTAGCCTGCGTCCACCCACTGCCCTTCCTACCACACTAGGTTGTTCCTCCGTTAGCTCCTTCATTCCAGAAGTGGGGGGACATGTGGAAATACATATACTGACTCCAGGACAAGAAAGATTCTTCTTGTGACTGTCTATTTCTCCTACAAGCAGGACACAGTAAATTCCAGTTAGAAAAAATGTCTGACAAATTCAAATGGTAAGGTATGCCTACGTTTGCTTTAATGATCCTCTGAAATAGCTGGTCAAGAGCCTACCCTTTCTAGAGGGAAAAGAACTCTCCAGATGTTCTGAATGTTTCTGTCATTTGCAAATCATCGCACAAAGGCTAAATTCACCAGGTGACTCCATACCATCTGGTGTGGGACAGATGTACCACAGAACTACGAGTACCTTCCATGATTTAAACAAATAAACAAAAAAAAATTCAAATGTAAAATGCTCTCTTTTTAATTACTAAATTAAGAAAGTTAAACAATTTAAAAATGTAAACTCACAAATGAATCATAACAAAAAAGGAATTAAGAGTTGCTAGTCAGTATTAAAAACTCAATAGAAATAGGATTTTTGATTTGTTGGTGTTAAACATATGTAATTTAAGGTGGTACAAACAGCAACTAAAAATGTAATACTCTTTTGTTTTTGTGCATCCCCATGAAATGTAAAGTAGTGCATAGTTATTCCACTGGAGAACTCCTGGACATATAGAAAGTCATTCATTAGCAGTACAGGACATTTAAAACACTTATTTTACAATGGGAAATGTACAACCCCCACCCTCATTTCCCCCAGAAATTTTAGTTGCATGAGAAAGTTTAGCAGGTTGCCATGACTACAATGCTATGGGTTTTAGATCATTTAAATGTGGTTACAGGTTTATTAAATTAAAAATGTCTGAAACATTTCAGCATTCATATTTTTATACAAGAAGTTTGTGTGGTATCCATCTTCCAGTTCTCTCGGTAGCCATTTGCTTGCTTATTTTTAAGTTTTGAGAACAAACGGCAGTAAGTTGAAGCAAATACTGCTAACAGAACTTGTAAATTCAGCCTGGGGGGGCGGTTCCTGAAAAGAGTCAAAGTAACAGCCATCTACAGGTACAGTCATGAACCAGGAAAGTGCAATCCAAATGAAAAAATTCATGCTTTGCAAAAGCCAAAAATGAGGCCACTGGTGTTTTCAGAATAACACCAGTGCTTTGATGCTGACTTACAGTAAAATCCTCCCTCTGGGTTCCATAGCTTGGTGGCCCAGGCTGGCCACAGTCTCCGCATTAGCACCCACATTGTGTATGTACAGGGACATATATATTATATACATTCATATTTATAAAAAGAAAACAAAAAGAAACACCTGTCCTGATTGGTTTTTGTTAAAACATGAAAAAAAATTTTATTGTTTTAGACAAAGAGGCCACTTTTGGAAAATAATACTTTTTTTTTTTTTAGTTGAATCAGGTGAAGACAGAGTTAAAATCACATAGGATTTGCATTTTTAAAAAAGGAAAGCACTAGGATTGTTGGCACTGGAGTAACTATTTACACTGAACAGAGGTTTGGCCTTTTACATAACATCGATACAATGCATTTTCCAAAGTCTGAGAAATAACAAGGTTCTGTCTCGAATGCTTCACAGAGGAGGTTCGGATTTGGGGACAAGTGTCATTAATGAGGGCCATGGAAGTTCGTCAGCTTCAGAGTCACATGCAATCTGATCCTGGGCGGTTCTGCTGCTGGGGAGCAGCCGGCTACGGAATTGAAAGCTAATGGGGGGGGGTGGGGCAGCCTCTGGGACAAGGCCTCTCTCCGCAGACCCGGGCCTTACAGGTTTTCACCAGGTTGGTACTGGGGCTCTGTGGCGGTAAAGTAGTCTTCCAGGAAGCTCTGCAAGTACTCAAAAGTGGGGCGTTCTTCAGGGTCCTTTTTCCAGCAGTGGATCATGAGCTCATGCAGAGAGATGGGGCAGTCCTGCGGGCAGGGCATCCTGTAGCCTCGCTCCACCTGCTCCAGCACCTCCCGGTTGTTCATGCCTGCAAAGACAAGGCAGTGAGAGTGGGCACCCCGGGACTCCAGGCCCTGACCGCCGCACTTGCAGATCCCCTTTCTTCTTCTTTGCATCTGCAGGTGGCTAAAACATGTGAAGTGCCCCCATTCCCCCCAGGAGTCAAACCCTGCCATGCTACTCAGAAATAAAGGAGTGCAGAACCGAGACATGCAAAAATCCAGAATGACTCTCCAAAGCAATATAAGTGAAGCAAGCCAGACACAAAAGGCAACATACTGTATGATTTCATTTATGCGAAATTCTAGAAAAGGCACAACTACATCTACAGAAAGCAGATCAGTGGCTGCCTGGGGAGGGGAGGAATCCCTGCTAAGGGGCCAGAAGGATCTCCAAGTGGGATGGGAATGTTCCGTGTCAGGGTCAACGGGTCAACAAACTTTTCCTGTAAAAGGCCAGACAGTAAATATTTTTGGCTTTGTGGGTCACATATGATCCCTGTCGTCTTCTTTTTAACAACCCTTTAAAAATGTACAAAACAAACACAGGTTGGGAGCCACATCTGCCAACCCCTGTTCTATATTATGTATGGGGTGGTGTGACTGTTTATGTTTGTCAAAACTCAATAAACTGCATTCTTAAAATTGTTGAATTTTATTGTGTGTAAATTATACTTCAATTAAACTGACAAAAATATATGAATAAAGCAGACAAAAAAATCCACACAGAATGAAAGCATGCTGCCCCTTGTTTATAGCATTTATAAACTCCATTTATGAACTTCATAAATTCGTTTTCCTCATGCTTGGGCAAACTCCTAGTTCCTCACTGAGGGAAATCTGCCATCATGCCAGCGTGGCTGGGCACCGTCTGGCCCTGTGACCCCACTGCCCTGAGGTTTGGTGAATCTGATGGGGAGACAGACCATGTCCGGGGCCTATCTCTACTGATGACCTCAGCCAGGCCATCCATCATCTGAGGTTTTCCTGACTCTGGGGAAGCTGCGGAAACACTGGGCTGCATAGCACTCACAGAAGACAGATCGTTAACTCCTTAGAGAGCGCGGCCTCCTGCACACTGGCCGCCTTAACACTACAGGAACTACCATGCTTAGGGGGTGGCCAATGTCCTGACCTCTTCCCAACTACTGCCGACCACTGTTCTCTAGTTTTGCTTCCCTTTTCCGTTAGATCACCTTCTGGCAGCTCCCTGTCGAGCTGTGCCATGCTTTGGTTGCTTCCTGGCTGGTGAGGCTGTCATCTGGAATCCTCCCCAATTTCTGACCTGGTTAATTTGCAGGAGCAAGAACTCGACGTCAAGCCATATAGAAACCAAGATTTCTTCCCCTCTTTCCCAGGGCTACAGCCAGCAGGAGCACACACCATACGCATGGAGCTCGCTCCCTTTACTTCCAGGGGAGGTGGTGACCTGCTAGCTGGAAACCTGTCAGCATAGCCAGAGGCGCTGGGCCAGAGCATAGCCTGTCCCCCTGGGCAGGGAACACTCAGACTTTGGGGTCTGTTGCCAGTCCTCGTGGTTGTGTTGTTACTTGCAGAGCTGAGTGCATCCTGGCTCCTCCTGGCTGTCAACCACAGCCCGTCCGTCGCACGTCTCTCCAGACCTTTTCAGGATGCTTTCTTACTCTCTGCCATGATCATTTCTTGAGATAGTAATAATTCATATATTATTTCTGCTGCACTGAAGTAGGCCTTCAATGCAATTGTCGTAAAATAACCTCACTCACGTGTCAGGGCGACCCCTTATTTCAGAGAGAGAGGTTTGGTGAGGGAGTCAGGGTCCCTGCCTCTGTGCCATGCATGCCTTTACCAGTGACTTCCTCAGTTGCATGGGCAGAGGGAGAGGCAGCACTGTGGCTAATTAGCCTACATCCTCCTCCAATGGCTGAAAACGGGGGATGGGGGCGGGGGAGCTGGAAACAAGGGAGGAACTGGAGCTGCTCGGGAATGAAAGGCAGGCTTCTCCTCGGGCTCTAGACAAATGCGGACAGAGGCCAGCATTTCCTTCTCCACAATTCCGCAATCCAACAAGCTCTGAACACCATCAAGTTTTTGTAACTCACTTGACTGCAGAACTGATCTGAACTGACCTCATTTGGCCACAAAACCTGAAATGGTTACGACACTATTTACTGTTTCTATTTCTTCATACATATTGCCCAGAAAGATTAGGAAGGAAGAGTGTGTAATCACGTAGCAGAATTGACATTCTCCAAAGCATTTGCCTTGCCGCATCTTTCAGTACAGTCCTTGGTTTCATATTTCAGCAACGACAGAGCTTGGACCTGCAGAAATCTCCTGTGTCTCTGTCCCTTCCAGGAGCCCACAGGAACTGGAGGGGAAACAGGCAGAAGGGCCTGACAGATCCTTCTGGGGGTGGTACAGCCCCTGAAATGCCTCCTAATGCTTGACGCTGGCTCGAGTGCCGCCACCCAAAATGGCAGCACAGAATTTAATCATTTTCCTATTCTCCACAGAGTGCATGTCAGTACATGCTTCATTTCATTAAAAAACTACTCAAACGGAAAGATTTCACTTAAAAATAAAGTTTTCATCCAATGTCTGCCAGTGGAAAGTTTAATTGGCCACTGGGTCATTTTTCCAGTGCTCGGTCCAAGCCTTGGACACAGCAGACTTGGTGATGTGAACCTCAACATGTAGTGTCTTCCGAGGCAGTCTGCTTCCTGGGCATTTGGAGGCCAGGGGATAGGGTATAAGCTGGACCATGCAGGGCCCTGGCAGACCCACAGGGTCAGGCTCCTTCTCGCTCTCCCCCTTTTCCTGTCTGAACCCCTCCGCTCTTCCCCACTCCTCTTCTCATGTTTTCTTCTGTGCAGACCTCTCAAAGCATGGGAAGCGTATGAAAACAATTCCACGCACTGGGCCAAGTGGAAATATACCAATGATAGCTTTGCCAGGAAAGTGGGATATTTCGACAATGCACTTGGCTGACAATGACAACTGGAATGGGACTAGCTCTTTTCCAACCATCCATAAACCAGGACCGGCACGGGCTGACCTACAGACCTGGCCTCTTCACAATGTACCTCTGCAACAATAACTGCAATCAAGATACGCCCACTCAGCAAGGCTTAGGCTAGTTTTTATTTTATAAACAATAGCTAAAAAAAAAAAAAAAAAAGTTAAATTGAATGGATTGTGTTAATTCAGGGTGAGTGTCCCTTCTCTGAAATGCTTATGATCAGGAGTGTTTTAAATTTCAGATTTTTTAGGAGTTTGAAATATTTGCGTCATAGGGCTGCTCAACCTAAAGCGGAGCATTCCCTTTGAGTGCTGTCAGTGCTCAAGAGGCTCCAGATTTTGGTGCATTCTGGATTTCATATTTTTGGATTAGGGATACTCAACCTGTATTTAAAATATAGTGTTCTCACTATACGAATTTTGAAAATCATGTTTTTTTAAAAATAGTTTTTTAAAATGGCTTTTACTCTGCACACTACCAAAAAGATGGGTCTATTTCATTTTTTTTCTTCTTAGTTTCATATTTTTGTTAGAGAGAAAACTGTCATTTCCTCTTTTTAGTCACTTTTCCCCAAGACATTGGCTTTACCTAATACCTGAGAGGTGAAGGGTAGTGAATAGGAAGGGAATAAACACGAGTTTGGGCACCAGGGCAGTTGGGAGAGTATCTTGAGAGACATGGGAACACTAGAGAGAAGAATCCTTTTATTTTTTATTTATTTTATTTTATTTTTGAGACAAAGCGTGGCTCTGTCATCTGGGGTGGAGTGCAGTGGCATGATCTCGGCTCACTGCAGCCTCCACCTCCCAGGTTCAAGCAATTCTCCTGCCTCAGCCTCCCGAGTAGCTGGGATTACAGGTGCATGCCACTATACCTGGCTAATTTTTTTGTATTTTTAGCAGAGACAGGGTTTCACTATGTTGGGCAGGCTGGTCTTGAATTCTTGGCCTCAAGTGATCTGCCTGCCTCGGCCTCCCAAAGCGCTGGGATTATAGGTGTGAGCCACCGCGCCCAGCCAGAAGAACCTTTTTATTGCACTTTCAACTGAGGAGGTGGACAAGAGTACTGGGAATGCTTTTCCTTTCCCCCCTTTCTTTTGTTTTTGAAACGGAGTCTCGCTCTGTTGCCCAGGCTGGAGTACAATGGCACGATCTCAGCTCACTGCAACCTCCACCTCTCTGGTTCAAGCAATTCTCCTGCCTCAGCCTCCCGAATAGCTGGGATCCTTTTTCTCCTTTCTTAACAGAAAGAAGAGACAGAAACTTTATAAAACACAGTGTCTGGGCACATTTTAGGGAAACAACGTCATAGACAGTTTAGCCTTCCAGGTTTCCTAGTGGGAGCTGCAAGGGAGAGCATTTTTCAACAGGAGGGGAGGTCCTGGCTGGCCAGTGGTGTCTGACTGTGGGAAGAGCCACATTCCAGCAGTATGAGTGTCCCGTGGTTCCCACAGAGAGGAGGCTTGGGGCTGGGGAGCCAGCAAGCACAGAGGCCACTGTCCAATTTTGTTCCAATCCGCCCTTTGAGCCCCATGGGAGCAAGCAGCCCCTCCTGCTGTCTCTCTAGAATCACTCAGGAAAACAGGCCATTGTGGTGGGCCACTTTCATAGGGTACAACTGAACAGTATTCAATCCATAAAACACCTCCAGCACTTTGGGAAGCTGAGGCAGGCAGATTGCTTGAGCTCAGGAGTTCGAGACCAGCCTGGGCAACATGTTAAAACCCTGTCTGTCCAAAAGGACAAAAATTAGCTGGGCATGGTGGCCTGTACCTGTGGTCCCAGCTGTTCAGGAGGCTGAGGTGGAAGGATTGCTTGACCCCAGGAGGTTGAGGCTGCAGTAAGCTGAGATCATGCCACTGCGCTCCAGCCTGGGTGACAGAGCGAGACTAGTAAGTCCACTGTGTGGAGGTCTGCCTTTGAGTCCCTCTTTCCCAGCGCCTCCATGGAACACCTCCTGTCAACTTAGATTTAGGCTTTCAAACGTGGTCCCTGACGTAGCATCATTTCCAGTTGGTCTGCCCCAAAC